TGTTTAAATCCTAAATTCAAACTTTTTTCTTTGTTCACAGTGGGGAGGGAGAAAAAGAGAGTAATGGGAGATGGCAGAGGGTAAAAAGTGTAGAAATGGGAAAAAAAAATAGAAGAATGAGATTCAGTGAATTCAGAAGCAGGACTCAGTTGGTTACAGCACAGTATTGACAACACCAAGGTCAAGGGTTCAGATCCCACTAGCCAGACATCAAAAATAAATAAATAAATAAAATACCAGAATCAGGGACTTAGTTGAAGAAAGCTTTCCAAAGCCATTACTGGTATTGCAGGTAACGACAGTTGGCATTGCTCAAACTTGTACTCTTCTAAGGAATGATTAATTTTTCATTCAAGATAAACTAATAGAGAATCCATTACATGCCATCTTCTGTGCTTGCTGCCGGGAAATAACAAATTCTGTAGTCCCTGTCTTCTAACAGTAGCAACACCAGGAAGAACCATGATCTCCCAGACATTTGTGCCTAACCCTAACCCTAACCCTAACTTCTTGTGAAGGTGTATGTGTGTGTGTTCAAGCTCAAATTATAGCAGAAAGGGAACAAGCAAGAACGTGATAAAAGATAAATGCAGAACTTAAGCAAAATATGTTAATCCTTGACAGTGATAAAGCAGTACTATTTAACATTAACTTTGCTTCTTTATTCTACATTAAAAAAATACATATTTAAAATTAAAAGAAGAAAATGTAGGGCAAAGAGGGAGTTTAATGTTAGAACTGAGATATTAATAAAAGCCATTTACTTGTTCTGTGTGAATTTGTGGACACAAGTGCAGACAAGTAGATCTCAAAATAAAAAATTAAAACCTTAAGTTATCTGCATTGGTTCTGCCATCAAAGGTGACATTGAAACATTTAACAGGATGGCGTGGGCAAAACCAATCAGAACAAATTCTGGTCTCCAACAATTGGTGTGCATATTCCTGTGTATACATGCTGGGGACCATCCCTGCCTGCAATCACAAATGCCAGATGTCTTTATACATATGAAAATGTCCTGATTTTTTGAAGTGGGGGAAATAAACTTCAGAATCTAAAGAACGAGTTCCACTTGGAGCTACCGCTACTATTTAGGATTTTTATTTTATTTTATTTTATTTATTTTATTTTATGATTTTATTTATTTTATTTTATTTTATTTTTTGCAGCTGGCCAGTANTGTGAAGGTGTATGTGTGTGTGTTCAAGCTCAAATTATAGCAGAAAGGGAACAAGCAAGAATGTGATAAAAGATAAATGCAGAACTTAAGCAAAATATGTTAATCCTTGACAGTGATAAAGCAATACTATTTAACATTAACTTTGCTTCTTTATTCTACATTAAAAAAATACATATTTAAAATTAAAAGAAGAAAATGTAGGGCAAAGAGGGAGTTTAATGTTAGAACTGAGATATTAATAAAAGCCATTTACTTGTTCTGTGTGAATTTGTGGACACAAGTGCAGACAAGTAGATCTCAAAATAAAAAATTAAAACCTTAAGTTATCTGCATTGGTTCTGCCATCAAAGGTGACATTAAAACATTTAACAGGGGGCCTGCCCGGTGGCGCACTGCTACAGTGCGCCGCTTGGGAGCGCGGTGGCGCTCCCGCCGAGGGTTCGGATCCCACATGCAGACCGGTTCCCGCTCACTGGCTGAGCAACACCGAGGGTTGCGATCCCGTTGCCGGTCCCGGTCCGGTCCGGGCGCGACACTGAGGGTTGCAATCCGTTGCCGGACACGAAAAAAGACAAAAAGGAAAAAAAAAAAACATTTAACAGGATGGCGTGGGCAAAACCAATCAGAACAAATTCTGGTCTCCAACAATTGGTGTGCATATTCCTGTGTATACATGCTGGGGACCATCCCTGCCTGCAATCACAAATGCCAGATGTCTTTATACATATGAAAATGTCCTGATTTTTTGAAGTGGGGGAAATAAACTTCAG